AAATAGACATTAATCAGATATATGCATTCTTGTGTTTAGTTGTAATTTTCTGCAATTCTGCTACCATGTGAGCCTTTAGGGTTAAGGGAACTACATGTGTTTCTTTCTTTTAGCTACTACTAGTCAACTAGGCAATATGGTAAATATCTGCTCCCTATTAAGTCTGAAATTCTCCTCTAAGACACCATGTGTCTCTTTATCATTTTTATGTGTTTGTTCCAAATTGTTGCTGTTTCTGTTTGAAAAGTGTTTTCCTTGTTTGGATATTCCTTTGAAATGTATTTTGTTTTTCCATTTATCCTTATGACATATATTTGTTATTCATTTCTACTTATTTACAGTTGTAGTGTAGTGTTACTAACTCATAGGAAGTAGTATGCATTCAACTGCCTCATGGGTAATAGCTGTAGCTATTTATAGTCTTTGCGACTTCCTACGTAAAGGAGTCACCTCATCCTCCTGTTCCAAAGAGGTTTTATCCTCTAATTTTCCCTGATACTTCTGGGAACTTTTGCTACCTTTCTATCTTCCTACCTCTTCCTAAGAAATTGTTTAGATATGGGAGATTGTGAACTTTTTCTTTTTTCATCAGAGTGTTTCTCCAATGATTGTTCATCTTCAGAGTCTATATCACTCTTGATTTCACTCTCATGTTTGTCTTGCCTTGGCATGACACTTTCACCTTTATTACATTCAGGCTCACTATACATTTCTTCATTGTTATCATGTTGCAATCTAACTTGGTCTGTATGCACTATATATCCCATTTCCATTTTTTTCTATTATCATCGTGTTCTGTACATTTTGCATTATGAATCTTGCCTCTTGTAGATTAGAGTCACTATTCTTTTTATATCAATGTTTTTCATTGGTAGCATCAGACATAGTTAATGGGGTTCTAATGTGTCTATCCAGGAGGGCAGACAGGATTTTTGATCTTTCAGCATTTGGCATTGTCCTATAACTTAGCAACAAGTTAGGAAGAAATGTTTCTATCTTTTCTTTCTGTTGTACACATATTTTTAACTCCTTTTTTATAGTTTGCACCATCCTTTCTCATCCGTTTGATTGCAGATGGTATGGGGGTGGTTTATATGGTTTGCATCCAATTTTATTCAACCATTGGCATAATTCCTCATATCAAAACAATTGAGGTGTAGTCAGATACCAGGGTTTTTAGAATTCGGTTTCTTGAAAATATGATCCATGGTCAAACTTCTTTTGTTAGAGATCTGTATTACTTCTGGTCAGCTGGAATACGAATCTACAAGTATTAGTAATAATCCCACTTCAATAACATGATCCATGTGTACTCTGTCCCAAGTTTGGGAATCTTTAGGCCATGTATATGTTTTTGTCTGTCTAAATCTTCTTTTAATACACATTTTACACATTTTTATGTATTCTTTTATGTCTGTAGAATACCTTGACCACCATGCCTCTTTCTTTTGCGTAGACATTATTCTCATAATCATTGTCATGTATACTTTTTATAATTTTGCTCCTTTGTTTTGCTGACAAATTTGAAAGCACATAAAAAGATAATTTTTGTCAGAATTTCTAGGATGAGGATTTAACATTATTTACAATTGGGCTAATGTCCACATTTTAGTTGTTACTGCCACAACATTTTGACAGTTGCACTATCTGGCTTTCTCCAGGTGTCTGTCATTTCCATTACAAATTACACCCTTTTCTACAGTTAATTTGTGTTTATCTTCTTTTAAATGCCTTTCTGCCTGTGAGCAATTATTCCACTTATTATTTTTTATTGTTAACAATAAACTGTTCAATATGGGGGTCTCACTTCATAGTTTTTTAAAATTCCAGTTTCTTTTGCCTTGACTTTGTTTACTAATATTGTTGAATTTATGTTCAATACATTATTTACTATTAGGTCATAATCAGAAATATAACAATATGAAAATTTTGAATACTCAAGGAGATATATCTAGATTGGATCAGGAGTCTGAAAGACCTGGGTGATTCAATGTTTTTCCAAAGAGGAAGAATAAAATTATGAAAATCTCAAAGACTCAGTGAAACTAGCCTAAACTGTAGCAGGAGGCTGAAAGAACTGGGTGATTCAGAGTTTTTTTTTTCCAAAAATTAAAAATAACATTATGAAAATCTCAAAGACTCAGGGAGATAAATTTAGATTTTAGCAGGGGTGTGGCTGACCTAGGTGATTCAATGTTTTCCAAAAAAGAAAATACCTTTAGGAAAATCTCAAAAACACAGGGAGACAAAATTGGAGTGTAGCAGGAGACTGACAGGTTTGGGTGATTCAATGTATTGACAAAAATAAACCATAATTTTGGGAAAAAATCAAAATCCACAGGGAGACAAATTATGATTGGAGAAACAGACAGATCTGCATGATATAATGTTCAGCCAAAAAAGTTTGCATAAAAGTTTAATAATCTACTTGTTTGGTTGCACGGTATACAAAATCAATCAGTGATGTTTTATGGGTGGGTATCTATTTAGGTTGTTTCTGATTATGTGCCAACTTATAGAAAATCCAAACCTAGTTCTCAAGGTATTTAAAACACCTGGATACTTTCCGGACAGACCTCATCAAAAAGAAAAAGTCTGGACTGTCTTATGCAGAATGATTTTTAGCAAGCTTGTCTTAAAGAACATTCATTAGCTTATTGATTTTTCTCCTCCCTTGATGCTCCTTTATTGTAGCAATGTGCCACACTGATTTATGAAATCCTTATCCATCTCAACATGATAAATCTGAAAGCACATAAAAAAATAATTTTTGTCAGAATTTCTAGGATGAGGATTTAACATTATTTACAGTTGGGCTAATGTCCGCATTTTAGTTGTTACTGCCACAACATTTTGACAGTTGCACTATCTGGCTTTCTCCAGTTGTCTGTCGATCAGGAGGATTAAATTAATATATCTAGTCATTGTAGCCAAAGAAAAGTAACTCTGAAAATAGATTAGCCATTTATCTGAGAAGCCACATATAGATAGAAACACTATTTGATTGATTTGATTGATTTGTTTTCTGTTTTTTTTTTTAATCGGTATCACCCCAGCAGTAATGCCACTAAAAGATAAGGGGTTACAGGGTGTGGAAGAATTAGGAACAGAAACAATAATGATGAGCAGAGTGAGAAGAGAGTAATCAGGTGGACAGTAGATAGTGATTGACATTGTATTTAAATTTTTTCAAATTAAAGTTGGCTGGAAAGTATGGAACTGTAAGAGAGTTCCACAAGCGAGAAGTGTGAGAGAAGAAACTGCTAGCATAGAATTTATAGCTACATCTAGCTAGCTTAACTGTAAATTGATGAGATCTCGACACCAGCCTAGTGCTATGCTTAAATTCATATAATCTAGTGAAGAGCTCATCCAAACAATTACAATGTTAATTAAAATTAAAATGTTCATTTCATGATGAGTCATAGGCGTGAAAGTTAGAACTAGTGGAACTAGGGAATGTTGTTTGTCTGAGCACTTTCCATGGAAATAGCGATAGAGCAGTGAGATATTTGTGATGTTTTGCCTGTCGAAAAGGGGTTATAATTTGTTACCCACAAGGATGCAGAGACATTTTTGGACTCTATCGAGACAGGAAAGGAAAAACTGCAGCAGCTCTTGCCCATATATATTTTTTTAAATCAGTATCACCCCAAGCAATACAGTAACAACACTAAGGTGCAAGGGGTTACAGGGTGTGAAAGAATTAAGAATAGAAACAATAATGATGAATATAAAGAGAAGAGAGGAATCAGGGAGACAGTAGATAGTGATTGACATCGTATTTAAATTTTTCAGATAAAAGTTAGCTGGATAGCATGGAGCCACAAGCGAGAAGTGCAAGAGAAGAAACTGTTAGCATAGAATTTATGGCTACATTTAGCCAGCTCAACTCTAAATTGATGAGATCCCAACACCAATCTAGTACTACACTTAAATTAAAAAAGTCTGGGTACCATAGCGAAGAACTCATTCAAACAATTACCATGAAAGTATTTATAGAAAAGACATAGAGAGAAGCAACCTTACAACAATGTGAGAGTGACTGGAGCCGAGCTGCCAGATCAGGACCAATAATATTGCTGATTTTTCTTTGGATCTTATCAAGGAGCTCAAAGTAAATAGCAGGGGCACTGGACCATATGTGGCAGCAATATTCTAAGCATGGATGAATGGTAAACTTATAGATATGTAAGATAGATTCTGGAGAGAAAAATTGTCTTGCTCAACATTGTGAACTGACTTACTAAACAGATGACCAAGCAATGGATTCAGTATAGTCTTTCCACTTCATATCAGCAGAAAACATGAGCCTGAAAAAGTGCAATGAGTCACTTTTCTGGAGGTTAGCATTAGCCATGCTGATGGAAGGCAGTGAAGGGTCTGTCATGTGATTAATGGAGAGCAGTTTTGTTTTGGATGCATTAAAATTAACAAGCCATCTTTGCCCCAATTAATGACGAACTTGAGGTCATTTTAGATGTCGGCTGCCATTTTGACCTTGTTAGATTGATAAGCCTTACTATGGAGGCAGGAGTAAATTGTGTCATCAATGTAGATACCAAATTGAGAGGAATCAGGAAGGTAATTAATGAAAATTAAAAACGGAGTAGGGCCAGGGATGGAGCCCTGGGGGACATCTGCGTTAGTATGAAAGGATCTAGATGAGTGGCCATTTAAGATAACTCTCATTTCACGATACGATAGGAAAGACTCACTTCAAAAAAGTGTCCAGAGACACCATAACTTTTCAGCTTGTGGAGAATACCTGAATGCCAGGAAAAAATAGAAAATATTTTTAGATAGAAAAAACTTTTTTTTTAGTTAATTATAATTTAATGATACAAGTTTTACTAATTAACCCATAGAAGAGGTGGATTCATACCTTTCTCAAGAGTATTTGCACACAAGTGAATATAATGAATCCAACTGTAATTGAATCTTGGCTCTCCGATTAATAATTCTGAGCCATTATCCATTACACCTTCAACATGTCCAAGCTTACAGCACCTGATATTTCCAAGCAGTCACCCATCTAGGTACTGACCAGGCTTGATGTTGTTTAACTTCAGTGATTGTACAGGAACAAGTAGTTTCAATGTAATATAGCCATAAGCCCAGAAACACTGTGTATAACTGTAACATTACTCATATTATGAAACAACATTGTGAAAAAGATTATTGCTCAAATTTTTTAGATGAAGTAATGTCATCATTAATTTATATTACTATATTTCCTTTACCGACATTATTTTTATTCAGACTATTGTCCTCATCTTTGTTGTTATTATCGCAATGTTTCAACTGTTGTTCTTTTTGGCCTTGTTCAGATGTTTGTTAATCAGAGTAACCTCTAGGGAATTTTGAACTGAACTCTTTATTTAATCTACTAAGGTAGATTGTGCTTGTTCCACTATCTATATCTAAGTATATCTTGGCTTGTTCTTTTTTTAGTACTTCACATTTATTGCTAGTCCTGAGTCTGTGTCTATACTACTTGACCTATATAAAAATAGCCAGGCAGTTTAAAGCCTTGGTTGGTGAATTTGGTATGATTGTAATTTTGTGTTCAATTCCTGAGATGGCCTAGCAGTGGCATGCAGAGATTTGGTGATGCCTGGGGTCAATTCCTTGATTGTATACCCCTAGGGCTCAATTAGTGGGCCCTACTCTGGTCCTGCTTATCAAAACACAAATCCACATTGACACCAGCTTGTGAGACTGTAGGGCACTTGTACAATGAAGTTAACAGAGACAATTTCAAAATTTCAAAAACTATTTATTTCACTCTTTGATTAGATTCTCTCCTGATATGGTTGCCCAGTGCTGTTGCACTCTCTTTCTGTACTTCTGCACACTACTGTGGACTAGTACAGTCTCTGTTGAAACATTACTTGAAATAACATTCAATTGTCTCTTTTTGATTCTAAGTACAAATGTCTTTGTTCTCATTTTCATTAAAACTTCCTCATCGCTTGGATGTTCCACCCATCTATAGAACTGCATCTCTGTTGCCTCAAGTCTCTTCTTCATCTGTGAGAAAATTGTCTATCATTCACTGTCATATGAGAAGATTGATATTATGCTGTAGTTCAGCACTTTTCTTTGTATCTAACAAAATTCTTCTTGCTTGTTAATATGTTTAACTTTTGGAAGGCATCTCTTACTATTCCAATGCACTTTCTGATTTCTGTTTCATATTTTCTATTGACTGTTATTACACTACCCAGCTAGTTAAATTTCTGCTTGATTTTGATGTCTTTGTAGCTTATATCTTGGGCTGTCAGTCTTACTAATGACTATACATTCTATCTTCTTACAATTGATGGTAGTTTCTTCTCCCTTTCCTTTACTACTTCATACCTGCTAAATTATAGCTTACTTATCAAATTAAAATTAAGCAGAAATTTCTTCTGTTAACAGATTCACTGCTACTTTGGTTATTTGAACTCTTACATAGTACCATCAATGTTTTTGTTAGAGGCATCATTCTTCTTCTTTGATGTGCCAAGTTCTTTTAGTATGTAAGCAATAATGGCCCTCCACAACTTTCTGCATTTTGTTGTTCTAAATAATTTGTAACCCTTTACCATCCATCTTTGTCCATGTTCTGCCATCCATTCACTCATTAAATATACTATTTGCTGTTTCCCCTGGTTCTCTTGTTTTGAATGTGTCCAATGAGTGTTTAATTCTCTAGGCCGTCATTTTTCTATATGCCTGATCATTTCAGGATGTAGGCACTTATGACTACCCACAATTTTCTGTCTTTTGTTTCTCTAATTAACTTTTGACCCCCAAGTTACTAATCTTAGAGATAAAAATAGTTGACTGATATCATATTTCCTCAACACTATTTCAGTCACACTTCTCACCCCCAACACTCCAGTTGACAAATTAAGGCTGCCACTTTCTTTGATTTTCGCTGACTTTATGTTGGACTAAATTTAATTTGCCCTTTTTCAGTTGATACATTCTGCTAAAAAAACCTTATACTGTATGGAATAAATTATTTAAAATGGACATTTGAAAACAATAAGTTGAAATAAAAATTTGTTCTTTGAAAAACAGGGCATACAAGTCATTAGAGATTTTTTTAAAATTATTTATAAAATTAAAGTAAGAAATACATTGCCTGCAAAGTATGTTCCCAGCTTCAATGAGGCTATTTTTGAATTTTAATTAAACTTTCCGAATTAATTCAGAAAAGAATAAAATTATTTTTTATGTTTCTTCCAGTTTAAAAATATTTTTTACATTTGTTAAACCACCCTCATTTAATTTTTATGAAATTTCAAGAAATTCTTTTATTATATCACATTGTAATGTTTATATCTCTATCTATAAAAGGCAGGATGTGTGTGTGTGTGTAACAAATGCACGGCCGCAATTTTCGATGAATTTGCACCAAAATTTACATGTACATGCTCCAAGTTAGTGGGAAGCCCAAGACCAACTTTGCATTTTCCAATTCTCATTGATAGTGGAAATAATTGAGTTTTTCAAGCTTCTACGGCAGTGTTTATGTAGTTTGTGGCCATTTTCTACTGGCCAGAGTGAGAGCCAATAGCTGGCTGCCACGAATAGGCAGGAAGATTCTATTGGCCAGCGTGAGAGCCAACAGCTGACTGACATGAATGTTAACTAGCATGCTAGCATGCAAAAAAAATCGATAGCTGCATTTGTCACAAGTGGGAAAAATTTAAATCTGCATGGCACTTTACTCCAATTGGCTCATTCACTTGCTTAAACTCAACGTTGATTCTGATTCCACAGAACTGGGTTGGGTGTGAAAAAAATATTTGTTGGTAACATTCTTTTTTTCATTCGGTTTTTCCAGTTACTTTTTCTTTTTAAAGCTGATCGTTTTGTGTTCATTTTGTTTAGTTCTTTTTCATAACAGAATTAATGTTTAGTATAGAGCTTAGAAAAAATTCACAGTGTGAGATAGGCAAGAAGTAAGGCATGTAGCAACATCAGCACAGCAAAGGGCACTTCTTTAAAGGCAAGGAAGGGCAAAAATATTTTAAGTCAAGTGATAGTGATTGCTGTATGAGTCGTACGATTTTTGAATTAAGCACGGGCAACGCTGGGCCATGCTGCTAGTTTGTTATAAAGACAAGATTGCAGAGAATTTAAATCATCAAATTCTTTTGTCATACAGGACCCCCAATTGCCGAAAAAACAGTATTAAATTTAAACTGTATTTACAATTATGAATTGAAAATTTTACTACAATTCAATGACTCACAGTATTTTAAAAAGAATTAAAAATTTTTTTTGTGTATACACATGTTGATTTTTGTAAATACAGATGTTCATATACAACATTATGAGGCAAAAAGAGAGGTATCTAATATAGATTAAAAAATCATTAATAATTTTCTAACATTTTCTCAACAAGTGTTGTAAGTAAGGCTATAAAGCCAAAGTATCTAAAATTCAATAAAATGTGAGATTGCTTAATATATTTTTAAGATTACTGGGTAATCAAAAAATTATTTAAAAAGTTGTTCATGCTGTATTCATCAACTAATTTTTCAGTTTTGTCCATCTTCTTAAACATCAGGCTGTCAATAAACCACTCAACATGTAAAAAAAACCCACCCCACTTGGTGTTAAAAAAAGATGTTTTTCTGCAATATTTTGAACTAAAAGTAAATAATATTTATTTCAATTCATATTAATTAAATAAAATCAGTTAATTTCCCTCAAGTAACGTTTCAGAAAAATGTATCTTATTTTTAAAAGATGTTTTTAATAAAGAGAATTGTTGTTGACAAATCTGTCAATATGGTTGAATTTTTAGATTTTACTTAGAAAACAAAAGATACCAATCAGGTTTGAAATCCACCAAAGTATTTTGTTTATTGGGAATATTAAATTTAATCTTTTAGCTTGGAATTAAAACTAAAATTAAAGGTTCAAGAAAGATTTTTCATTTTTAAAAAATGTATTTGACACTTTGGGTATCGTTTTTTTCTTTGGGGCGTGGGGAGGTACTATTTTATATAGGATGTCATGCTGTGACAGTTAAAATGAAAAGTGAAATTTTTGTAAGCAAAAACTTATCTCCCTTGGAAATTTAACGGTAACGGATTTTTTTTTTTAATTATAAATGCTATTATTATTTTTTTTTTTAATGAGACTTGTTATATTGATTAATTTTAGAAAAAAAACTTGTTAAAAAAGATTGTAGACTGATTGGTTGCTAAGATAAACATTCTGAGCGGTAAAAGAATTGTAAGAAGCAGACGATAGTAAAAAAACAGACAGTTTGAGAAGATTCGCCAAGCAAATACGATGTGTTTTATTGCGACCGTGTGTTTCTTGACGTTTTCCTTGGAAAATTGAAAAACGAAAGAAAAAAGAAATTACTTTTTGGCGCATGAAAAGAGAAAAAAGGTGAGTAATAATAACTAAATAAGATTTTTAAGATTTTTTTTTTAATTTTCGAATGGGAGTTTCGTGACAGATAACCTGAACTAGGTCTCTTGTTTCTATGAAGTTAAAGTTGGACTTTTTTTTTTGCTTATTATTGTTTATTATTGATTTGAAAAGAAAAAAAAAAAAAAAAAAAAAACATTAGACCAAGAACGACCGAGGGAATATTTCCACCAGGCAGTAGCGTGCAAAAGGTGGGTGCAGAGGGCGCGACGGCCCCGGGCATCCATATCGGGAGGACGTCCAATCAAAGAGTGAAATAAAAATTTCGTTTCTATATTTAATTTGAATAAAGTGTTTATTTTCATGTTTCATCTGTCTTTTTTTTTTTTTTTTTTACATATTTCTCACTACTCTAGGCCATACAGCCCTCCCACCCCAAATCCTTGTATGCCCTCGTCTTAGGGGCATACAAAGAGTTGACCCCAGGCATCACCAAACATCACTGCCACCAGGGAATTTGGGGGATAGATGTTTTGCTACCAGAGATTTCACATAGAAACCAAACCAACACCCCTCATTAAATGTATATAGGACTACTTATGTCTATTTTTTGGTGAATAAAATTAATAAATTGCTCAAACTATAAATAATGACATTATGATGTGCCCTTTGCACTTGCTTTTCTTTGTTTATTGTGTAATTTGGTATAGATGTACATGTGCCTGTC